GTTACAATTTTGGAGGTGGAAGGACATTTTTCTTTGGCCGGTTTAGTCTTAAAAGAATGCAATTGGTATCTTGTTAATATATTTTAAAACAAATAAATGTTGATGATGGCTGTGGTTTCTTTAATGTCATCTAACCCTCTAATAGTCCCACTTTGAGTTAGGAAACAACTAGTGCAAATGTGAAAAATTCAGAGTAATTCAAAATAAATATTTCAAGAAAATCACAAATCTATCATTCATGGAACTGCTTCAAAATATCCCCACACATTTGAGCCTCTCTGATATTGTCTAAATAGGCCCTGCATACACAACTTAATATTATTAGACACGAAATTATTTAATATTTTTGCATAAACTATTAATATGTTTTTATATTTTAATATATTATTATTAAAATATCAAAAATATATCACATATAAAAAATATGAAACATTTAAAGAATTTTTCATAATAGTAAATCATTTAAAAAAGTTTATCCAAAAATATTAAACAATTTAAAAAAAAAGTATCCAACTATTTTAATTTTATTTGTTTATTTATAAAATATTTTACCAGGATGGATACTTTGAAATTTCTTTCATTTTCAAGTATGTCCTAGGTCCACAAAACATTGCATTGTTATAATAGGATACAATATTACAAAAAATACAAATAAATAAATATATATATATACATATACACACACACAAACATACATACACACATATATATATATATATATATATATATATATATATATATATACACACACACACACACACACACACACACACATATATATATATATATAAATTTAATACATAACGGGTAATAAATATATTCAACTATGACAGGTGCATTCTGTGCTGAGGTATATCGCCATAGATCTCTTAAAAGATTTTAGATTGAATGACTGTGTCCCTGAGGTTATTCCATAATTGCGGTTCTCTGTAGGAAAATGAGAATCGAGCCACTTGTGTTGTGTTGCGGTTCGCTAAATAAAGTGCTGGTACTGGATCGGAGGTTATAGGAGGTTGAAACTGTTGGGGAGAGCATTCTACTCAGGTAGGGTGGGAGCTTCCCAGAAAAGCGCTTATGCACAAGACTGGAAAGACGAAGAGTGTGTCGGGATTCCAGCAATAGCCAGTTTAGCTCTTTTAACATGTCACAATGGTGGTTAAAGTAATTGCATTCTAGTACAAAGCATAGATTATATAACGTATTAAGTTTATTAAGGTGGGTTTGCGATGCAGGTGCATTAACGACATCCCCATGATCAATGACTGGCTTTAGCATTTGTTGCACTATCTGTTTCCTTACTGTAGGGCTTAGGCAGGATTTGTTTCTGTACAGGGCACCTAGTTTTGGGTAAAGTTTTGAAGATATTTTTTCAATGTGAAGGCCAAAGGATAGATTGGGGGTCTAGCAACATACCTAGATATTTAAAAGAACAGACTGCTATTTGTGCTATTTGAATTTGTTTTGATACATAGTTGTTGATTTTGTAGTTTACGTAATTTAGGTACATTTCCAAAGATCATTGGTTTAAAAGCACAGCCTCAAGCTGCGGTAGATTGGGTTTACTAGCATAGATTTCAGTGTTGTCTGCATACATGTGTACAGTTGAGGATTTGCAAACGTTAGGAAGATCATTTATAAATAATGTGAATAGCAGGGGGCCGAGTATGGGGCCTTGGGGAGCTCCACACGTGACTGGAAGAGGGAGGGAGGCTCTATCAGAATTGGCCACATATTGCAATCGGTCTGCAACATATGATCGAAACCAGGTTAGCGGACGATCACCAATGCCTTTGTTTTTATGTTTTTTGCAAAATAATGCCATGGTCTGCTGTGTCAAAGGCCTTGGCAGAATCAAGAAAAATAGCTTGAGTTACTGTCCATTTTGACAGTGGATGGTTGGGAGTGGATTGTGGGGGTGTGTATGCTATTTATGATTTTCCAAATGTTTCTTGGGTTTGATATGTTATTGTTCAAATTTTCACTGATATATTGGGAATTTGCAATTTTTGTTTGTTTTGTGCATGCATTTCGCCATTGTCTGTAGGTACAGTGATCGTTCATGGCACCAGTACGCTTGAACTTTGACCACAATGAATATCTAAACTGGTACATTTGAATGAGGTCAGCTGTAACCTAGGGAATGTTTGTCCCTTTTATTCGCAGAGGTGCATGCAAATACAGAACACGCAAGAGCTCGGACTGAAAAAATGCATTTGGAGAGTCTAGACCTGGTATTAGACCTAATCTGTGCCATGATATGTTCTTGAGATAGTTTTAAAAAGATTCCAGATTACATTTTTTGAAAGACCTGGTGATTATAATCTTGGGAGGGGATTTGGTGGCCTTTATTTTGCATATGCAGTACACTAGACAGTGTTCACTGAAACTGTTAGGGAGAACACCCACCTCCTGGATTCTGTCAGGACAATTAGAACACATCCAATCTAGCAAAGCATGGTTCTGGCTTTTAATATCAATGCAAGTTGGGGAGGAAAGTAATTGTGTTAGCTGCAAAGTCTTAAACAGCGGACATGATTATTTTTAGGATTCAGCCAATCAATATTAAAATCTCCAAAAACCAACAGTTCACTTTTTTGTTTTTGAGCTACAATTTCACTTAGTAGTTGGGCTATGTTAGAAAGGGAGTACACCGGAGAGTTAGGTGGGCGGTAGATTTCAGCAACAATGACTGAAAGGGATCTCAATTGTGCCAGAAGGGAAATCAAAGGCAGAAGGGGAGTTATATTTTTTTTAAAGGAGTACATTTTATGGACTTGTCATAGTTACATAGCTGAAAAGATACTTGCATCCTTCAAATTCAGCCTTCCTCACATATGTTTTTGCTGTTGATCCAAAAGAAGGCAAAAACCCAGCTTGAAGCACTTCCAATTTTGCAACAAACTAGGAAAAATATAATTATTGACCCCAAAATAGCAGTCTGATATCTCCTTGGATCAAGCAGCTACCCTACTAATTAGAAAAGATATCCCTGTATGTTATGTTTTTGCAAGTATTTATCCAATTGCTGTTGAAGCATTTGTATGTCTCTGATAAAACCACCCCTTCAGGCAGAGAATTCCATATCTTACCGTAAAAAAACACCTTTTATTTGCCTTAGATGAAATCTCCTTTCTTCCAGCCTAAATGCATGACCTCGTGTCCTATGTATAGCCCTGTTTATGAATAGATTTTCAGATAATGGTTTGTACTTGCCCTGAATATATTTGTATAAGGTTATCATATCCCCTCTGAGGCGCCATTTTTCCAAACTAAAGAGATTTACATTGTTTTAACCTTTCTTCATAGCTAAAGTGCTCCATTTCTTTTACCAATTTCGTAGCGCATCATGATATTCTTCTTTAGAACAGGTGCCCAAAACTGCACAGCATATTCAAGGTGTGGTCTTACCAGCGATTAATAAAGAGGCAAAATTATATTTTCATTCCGAGAATTTAAGCCCCTATTTATACACGACAAAACCTTACTGGCCTTAGCAACTGCAGATTGACATTGCATATTGCTGCCTAATTTGTTGTTTATCACAATTCAAAAGAGAGAACTAACACCCCTAGAGGGGACTAGCTTAATGTGTGTCAGGGACGACCTAAAAGGGGTTAACCCTCACTTAACGTGTTTTTGCAGAAGAAAGGATCCCAGGGGGAAACAACACCCCTGTAGTCACAAGGTAGGAAGTCCCTCAAAAGTCCACATGTGTGTAGTTAAAACATAACTTTTATTGACCACTGTAAATAAAATTATAAATAATGAAAAAAACAAAAAATAGAGCTAAAAGGAATGATAATGAAAAAATTATGAAATATTCACTTATACATGTGAGTTTCCCTAAAACTATAGTCACTAAAGGAACCAATACCACCATGGGAAATAACTCATATCCTATATACAGGTAGCGTAATGAGATATGGTAGGACAGGCTAACGTGCATTGGGGGTACATAACCTATGTGAATAACGCATGTACATAAAATCTACAACTAACCAAATGCCTCCACTAGGATCCTATATCCTTGGATTATCAGAGGTCGTTGTATCCTACTAAATGTGGTTTGAGTGAATTGCTAAAAGTTACCAAACGAAAGTAGCAACCGATAGATACAAATAGCAAAACATCTCATAATAAACAGGAGGCCCTTATGTCCTTTTTACATATTGTAATAATATTAGTATAATCTTTCCACTTCTCTGAGTCACATCCATAGAATCACAATTCCCAAATCTTTCTCGTGTATGGTTATCCCTAATTCACTACCATTTAGTGTGTAAGTTTAGGGTGCATTTCTCTACATGAAATTTCATCTGCCATTTTAGTGCTCGGTCCCCCAATCTATCTTAATCCCTCTGCAGCAAAGCAATATCCTGCTCACATTTTATTACTTTACAAAGTTTTGTGTCATCTGCAAACACTGAAACATGGCTTTCAATGCCTATTTCAAGATCATTTATAAATATGTTAAATAGAAGCAGTCCCAAAACAGAACCCTTACTACTTTTGTCCAGCCTGAAAATTTACCATTAATGACAACTCGTTGTACTCTATCCTTAAGCCAATGTTCTACCCAAGAAATAGAATATTCATCTAAACCCATTTCTTTTAGTTTGAAGACTAATCTATTGTGAGGACCCGTATCAAATGCCTTGGCAAAATCCAAGTAGATCACATCCACTGCAACACCCTGATCTATACTTCTACTTTCTTCTCCGTAGAATGCAATTAGGTTAGTTTGACATGACCTATGTTTCATAAAACCATGCTGATTATTGCTAATAACAAGGTTCTTCCCAATGAATTCCTTAATATTATCCGTTAGTAGCCCTTCAAATATTTTCCCAGTCACAGAAGTTAAGCTCACAGGTCTATAAATTCCAGGCAAGAATTTTGAACACAACATACAGACACCCACACACCCACACACATACAGAGACACACACACACACATACATACAGTCTGTATGTGTGTGTCTTTGTATGTGTGTGTGTGTGTGTGTGTGTGTGTGTGTGTATGTATGTGTGTCTCTGTATGATACAGAGACACACACATACAATCTGTATGTGTATGTATGTGTCTGTATGTGTGTGTGTGTGTGTATGTGTCTGTATTATACAGACACATACATACAGAGACACATATATACAGAGACACGCCTACATACAGAGACACATACATAGAGACACTGTATGTATGTGTCTGTGTATGTATGTGTGTCTCTGTATGTATGTATGTGTCTGTATGATACAGACATACATACAGACACATACATACACACACACACACATACAAACACACACATATACAAAATGTTTAAGTCACCCTCCTGTTTCCTATCTTTTTGCAGGAGGGTTACTTTCCCTGGGGTCCAGTGGGGTTCCCACTCTGACTCCCTCCTCTGCTTCCTCACGCGCGGCTCTCTGATAGCTGGGAGGAGTGACCGGGGCTGTCACCTTCTCCCAGCTATGTCTGATGTCATCACCGAGGCCCCGTCACGCTGTTAAAGCGCCGCAGCGGTGACCGGGCTCCCTGGAAATCCATCTCAAGCATGGGCCACACGATGGACCCCTTCACGTGCGGCCCTGGCGGTATGCCGCACGGGCCGGGGCTGCAAAACATGGCGGCGGGTACCTGGTCGCAGGGGTCAACAGGGCGGTCGGGCCCCCTGGAGTGACGGGCCCAGTTGCAGCTGCGACCCCTGCGACCGTGGTATGTTTGCCAGTGGCAACAGAGCAGACCATGGTGCATGATAAATTGTTTTACAGTTTGAGGTGTTATAAGGGTTATCACGAATAACAGTATGGTCATATTTGGATTCATGTTAGTGGTATGAGGTGTGTAGATGAAAACAAAACACAAATAGTAAACCATTAAAAAGTATATAATATTGATGCTGTTGCATAGGGCAGTGGAACAGCTGATGGAGCTTTGTGTTGCTTGCAAGTCTGGGGCCATAGGCGTGCGCAGCCTATTGCATTAGAGTGTGCACCCTAAAGCACAAGCACACACCGCGTATATATATGTATGTATATGTATATATATATATATATATATATATATATATATATATATATATATATATATATATATATATATATATATATATATATATATATACACACACACATACACTGATGTGTGTGTGTGTGTGTGCTGTGTGAGGGTGATGTTAGTGTGATGTGTGTGTGAGGGTGCTGGTAGTGTGCTATGTGGGTGAGGGTGTTTGTGTGCGCGCGCTTGTTAGGGTGCTGTTAATGTACTGTGTATGAGGGTGCTGTTTGTGTGTGTGTGCGCGCTTGTGAGGGTGCTGTAAATGTACTGTGTGTGAGGGTACTGGTAGTGTGCTGTGTATGTGTTTGTTAGGGTCCTGTTAGTGTGCTGTGTGTGTGTGTGTGTGTGAGGGTGCTGTTTGTGTGCTGTGTGTAAGGGTGCTGTGTGTGTGGTGCTGTGTATGTGTGTGGGTGCTGTATGTGTGTAGTTGCTGTGTATGTCTGTGGGTGCTGTATGTGTGTAGGTGCTGTATATGTGTAGGTGCTGTGTATGTGCTGTATGTGTGTAGGTGCTGTGTATGTGTGTAGGTGCTGTGTATGTGTGTAGGTGCTGTGTATGTGTGTAGGTGCTGTGTATGTGTGTAGGTGCTGTGTATGTGTGTGGGTGCTGTATGTGTGTGGGTGCTGTATGTGTGTGGGTGCTGTATGTGTGTGGGTGCTGTGTATGCGTGTGGGTGCTGTGTATGCGTGTGGGTGCTGTATGTGTGTAGGTGCTGTATGTGTGTGGGTGCTGTGTATGTGTGTGGGTGCTGTATGTGTGTGGGTGCTGTATGTGTGTGGGTGCTGTGAATGTGTGTTGGTGCTGTGGATGTGTGTTGGTGCTGTGGATGTGTGTTGGTGCTGTGTATGTGTGTGGGTGCTGTGTATGTCTGTGGGTGCTGTGTATGTCTGTGGGTGCTGTATGTGTGTGGGTGCTCTATGTGTGCTGTATGTGTGTAGGTGCTGTGTATGTCTGTGTGTGCTGTATGTGTATAGGTGTGTGTGCTGTATGCGTGTGGGTAATTGTGGAGGGTGGAGGTACATTACTTAATATCCCTCCTCCCTTCTTACCTTATATAGGGAGGGGGGATTCTTGTTCCTGCTGCTTTCCCTGGCGGTCCAGTGGAGAGTGAACTCTAGCCCCTGTGGGGATAGAGTTCACTCTCGCGAGATCTGAGCGTTGCCGCGGCGAGAGTAACCCGGCGGAGCTCCCCGGGTCCTCTCCTGCCTCCCTCACGGCCTGTGGGTCGGTGGGGAGGGAGGCTGAGAGCAGAGCTGGCACTCGGATAGCATGAACCGACAGGGGAGATTCTGAGATCTCCCCTGCCGGTCTCACTCCATAGGCTTGTGCATGCCTATGTCTGGGGCAATATAGATTTTATATCAGGCAGTTGCATAGGGCAGTGGAACAGCTGATGGAGCTCTGTGTTGCTTGCCAGTCTGGGGCAGGATACATTTTAAATCAGGTTGAGGGAGAGAGATATATTAGGGTCAGATGGGCCTGCAAGAAAGCTAATGAATTTGAAGCCATAGTGACAAGATTTGTTTCACCTAACTGAAAATTGCTTGTGAATTAAGACTGGGCAATTACCAAAAAGCATAAAAATAAATAAATCAAATTCTATTAAGCAAATCTCTCCCATCTATTCGCTTGCTTTATGGATAGGTGTTTTTTGTTTGTTTTTTTTTAGTGTCCCCCATGTCCACAAGGTACTTACTTATTTTTTTGAATGCATGCCAAAAATATACAAAAAAAAAAACTGTGCACAAATATAAATTATGTACATTTAAAAAAATAAAAATGTGTCCCACACAATCACAAATTACTCTTTTTCTTAAAGTCGCCCAGACTACTTCATCTCGAGGGCCATATAATATGTACTTACTTTTGGAACCCATTTTCCACCTAGAAAGTTGTTGCAAAGGGGGCACTTAGGAGGTTTGTGTCTTGTAACATATGTAAATGAGCAGCTGGGATTAGTGCAGTTTCCACGTCCCCTCCTGGTGTAGGTGGAGGCCTGAAAAAAAAAAGGAAAAAAATAGTTATTCAAGGCCACATTGCCCCTATTGATCAAATATATGCAGTTAATATTTATGGTACAACATGTCTTAAGACTAAATAAGTCCCCCTATCTCATAATGATGCGACTTGAAAGTAACATTTCATTGGATAAACCACTTGATACAATCTTATTCTAATTAAAATAATTTCTGTGCATAAACACTCACGGCTTCTCTGTGGCTGTTAGATGTTCTAGTTTAACAAAGGAGCTCTGAATGCGCAGAATTGTGCAAATGAGTCTACAAGGACTAGTCAAGTGATTGAGAAATATAATAAGTAAGCTCCAGCACAGCTCCTGGAATCAATCTCGGCAGCTCTCTTAGAAAGAGGAAGATTAACGTATGAATTAAAATCAATAACTCATCATTGGCATAGAAAAGAAATGAGCATTATATGTTGTACATAGCCCTCTGTTGTCTAGAAAAATTTTATACTTTATTAGTATTAAGAAAATAGCAGAGGAACGGTCGCGTTAACTGAAGCTCCGAATTGGCCAGAGAAAGATTGGATTTACCTGGTGGGATTCTGGCATGAAACTTGCCACTTACCTTTGAACCTTGCCTGCTAGAACAATGGGCAGGAAAAATAAAAAACCAAAGCCCGATAAAGGGTCTTCCAGCCGTGTATCGGCAAACTACTGCGGAGCACACAGAGGTTCGTCTGGGACAAAATGGTGAAGGAGGAAGAGGGATCCTCCTATTCAACGGAGGACATCTCCTTTGATCTGGGGGAAGACCAGTTTGTGGATCCAATGTCAAGACCCCCACCAAAAAAAAAACAACTGGTGGTGAGCGGTAACAGCAGACCTGCTCAAACCAATGTTGGCAGACTTGTGTAAAGACATAAACACAGACACGGCCTACTTCAAGGAAGCAATTGAGGGAGCTACCGCTAAGATAAATATCTTGGAGGCCTCCACGAGCATCCAGGACACCAGGCTCAAGCAAGTTGAGCAAAAGGTTGATGAACTACAGCGACAGCAGCTCTGTATTACTGACAGAGTTGATATGCTGGAGGACCAAAGATGGTAGTACAACCTGAAAATCAGAGGTGTACCGGAATCAGTTGGCCTCGCCGACCTGCCTCATTATGTTAGACGCCTTATAGGCTTATTACGATTGTTGAAACCGGTGTCAGCCACGCCATCAACATCAGGGGACAACATCATTCCAGTCTCTCCAAGACAAAACATCAATACTTGCGGCAGTCCATGGAAAATCTCCCCTGCTCTTTGAGAGCTCCATGCTTGCTGTGCATCCAGACCTCACCAGAAGCACACTTACCTGGAGGAAAACTCTACAGCCACTCCTGCAACAGCTCCGTGCCAAGGACGTCCCATATTGCTGAAGGATACCTAAAGTGCTGTCATTCACACACCAGAGGACTACTCACAGGGCACAAGGCTACACCGAGTTGGAGAACCACCTATGAAAGCTAGACCTAACCAGCCCTTCGGGAGCTGGACTATCTTATTTAGATAGGGGAATTCACACCCAGTCTGACCCAGCAACCGTCGAAATCAAGAGGAAAGACATGATGGGCTAGACGGGATCAGACCATTCAGTCTCATATTTTCCACCACCACGAACCACCAGTGTTTATATAACCATTGCTGGCTAATGCTTCTATTATGCTTAACTTAGTTCACATTGTTCCTTTTGTTGTGATGCATAGTTTTCTTATTGTTTTACTTTTACTTGGAAAACACATATAGTGGGGGAAGTGGGTTGAAACACCATCCCAACGGTTCCTCCTATACCCGGATACATCTCAGAGGGTATTGCACACCCAACCTGTTGTACCACCTCCCCGTCCCCTCACTCCCTCTTGTAATGCACATGTCTACATAACTTGGTCTCAAGGAGGGTGGTAAGCCCCCAGACGAACATCACTGTCTCCTTCACGTACATACCAACCTAGCCTACGTAGAGGTTTTAGCAGGAATACAAGCTAGGAATTGACGTTTATTGTTAATATTATGTTTATTAATTATTTTCTTATACAAATATTCACTCGGGAAATATACAATTTAATGTCTATGTGTTCATAATATGCCATGTTACCCAAAA